ACGGGATTGCCGTTAAGGAACTAAATGTCTAGGAGTCGTCTAAGCCTCCGCTGTCGAGGAAGTGAATATCTACGTGGTCGCCGTCGAGGAAATGAATGTCTACGTGGTCGCCGTCGAGGAATTAAGTATCTAGGTGACGTCTAGGTCTTTGCCGTTGAAGAAGTGAATGTCTACATGATCGCCGTCGAGAAAGTGAGTGTCTACGCGTTTTCTAGGTCTTCACCATCGAGGAAGTGAATGTTTACGTGGTCTCCATCAAAAAAATGTGTGTCTACGTGTTTACCGTCGAGAAACTAAGTGTCTACGTATTGTCTAGATCTTTGCCGCCGAGGAAGTAAATGTCTATGTAGTCGCCGTCAAAGAATTAAGTATCTTCTAAGTCTCGCCTCACTTTCGCCTTTCTCGTCTTTTTTACAGCTCTCTCGTGTCATTAACAATTTTCTCGTCTCTTCCTCAGAACCCTCATCTCTCTCATGACTCTGTCGACTTTTTAACAATTCTATCGTCTTTTTTTCAGTACTCTTGCCCCTCTCACAACTCTTTCGTCTCTTCTACAGTTTTCTTATCTTTCTCACGGCTCTCTCGTATTCCTCACATCTTTCTCTGCTTTCTCATCTCTTTCTCAGAACCCTCATCTCTCTCCCGACTTTTTCGTCTTTTTTACGACTTTCACCTCTTTTTCAAAACTCTCGTCTTTCTAACAATTTTCTTGTTTCTTTTTCGATACCCTCGCTTCTCTCACGGCTCTCTTGTCTCTCTCACGAGTTTCTCTCCCACGGCGTTCTTATCTCTGTCACAATTTTCTTTCTTTCGTGGTTCTGTCGTTTCTCTCACAGCTCTCTTGTCTTTCTCATGGTCTTAGTGATGATATACGATTTATTTAATCATTAAAATAAAAAAAATGAATATATTTAAATTAAATGAAAAATAAAACGAAATAGAACATGAAATGAATTAAATAAAAAAATAAGGAATGATATAAGTAAAATAAATAAAATCAAATAAACAAATAAAGAATGAAACGAATAAAATAAAAAATGGTAATTGTGGAGACCTCCACACCTTACCTCGGGCACGATCGTAAAGGCGAGTACGCACCGCCGCGCGACGGGTAATCGTGGAGACCTTCACACCTCACCTCGGGCACGATCGTAAAGGCGAGTACGCACCGCCGCGCGACGCGTCTCTCTCTCTCTCTCGCTTGACGAACGAACGTAGGGTGAGGGCGACCTATAGAGAGCGAGAGAGTCGCACCGCCGTCGCGCCACGCGTCGTCGCGCGGCAATGGCGGACGTACAAACGACGAGCGAGAGAGTCGCACCACCGCGCCACGCGTCTCACTCGCGCGGCGAATGGGGCGAACGTACAGAAGGAGAACAGTACGCACCGCCGCGCGACGGGCAATCGTGGAGACCCTCACCAGACGCGGCAGTGGCACGACCTATAGAGAGAGTCGCACCGCCGCCGCGCCACGCGTCGTCGCGCGGCAGTGCCGAATGGCGGACGTATAAACG